ACCCCAGGGGAGGACATCCATCACACAGTAATCTCGTGTGTGGGAAATTAACGTCTCCTGCCCCAACCCTGCAGGAGACGGGACCTCCATTTATTCATCCCTATCCGAGAAGACTAGAATATCTAACCATTTCTTGATGTTATAGAAAGGTAGCAAATTTTTCTAAATTATTTTAAGACCTTGAGTGTTGGTCCGGCCGGGGCTCGAACCCTCGACCTCCCTCACTACAGTCCAGCGCTCTATCCATTGAGCTAACCGGGAGGCGGTTATTTACTTATTCAAGTGCTAAAGGGTTTCCTCACTGTTTTATGAGAAAAAAGAGCAGCCTTATTTACGACGGGCAAGAATCTAAAGTGTTCTGAAAGTTTCGCAGTTTTGTGAGTGGAACCTAACGTGTAAGAGTCATCGAACCTGACTAAAAAGTTACAACAAGACGAAAAGGATCTCCTGTTTTCATATATTACAGATTTGGCTCTCAGTAATCATTTTCTGTGTAATTGGTAGGCTGTGTTTGAGAATGTCTGATCAGCTTAAGTGGCCAAGAAAAGCGACCAAAGATCATTATTACGAAAAAAGTACTTTGCGCGTAGTGCGCCGATCAATTCGGAGCTTCAACATCTCCCTCCCCCGCCATGGCTTCACTCTGGGCCGACCCACACGCATATGACGGTCGTCCACACCGGGGGCCTGGGGAATTTGATCCTTGCCTGGATGGGGTGGGGAATTTGAAGCGGAACTGTCAAGTCTTTCCAGCTGAATAAACACATTTTATTTTTTCATATCGAACTGTTTAAATGGGAAAAAGTTCACTTTTCTGAGCAGATAGTTCAGAAAAATTGGTCTATAAGAAAATACCGGTCGCCTACTCTGTCTTTGACTTCAAAAATGACGTTCAAATCAGCATTTGAGCAGGGAATTTGAACAAAATTTTGTCCACGGAAAGGGGGGGATCAGTTAGGGAACCAATCTTCAAAAGTTCGAGTGCCCTAGCGGTTCCCTGGGGAAGATGTCGAAGCTTCGAATTTATCGATCGACACAACTCAAATGGACGGCTAATCGGAGAGTCTCAATGGAAATAATAGTTACTAATTTTATCCTTCTATGGAAAAATCAAATCTAAATGTGCCTCGTAATGAGCTGTCATGAACAGAAACTAAACGTAAACAGCTGTATTGCGGAAATTTTGACCGTCTACCGTCCAATCGAAGGGCTAATACCCCAAACTTCAAAACAATTGATAAACCCATCAAATCATCTTAAAATACATCTCCCCCGCCTCCCTCCAACACAGGACCACAGTTTTTTTTAGAAACTTACCCCCTTTATTCATTTACCGTCAATATGGCCTATTTTCAACCATAAGAGATAACACCATCTTGAGACCCTCTAACCTTCTTCCGGCGTTATCGCTTCTGAATACGTCATTTCTTGTTGTTCCTTTCAATTGATATTGTGACATTCTTCGTTATGTGGTCTGGAGGGTTCGGGTATTTTTCAACTCATCGGTTAGAGTTATATGTTCTGTTATCAGCACTTTTCCACGAATGACTTCTCTTGATTGATATAGGGTTTGACTAACTAAGATTCCTGCTTTGGATAGATCTGAAGCAAATTGTAAACTTCAACTTTCTAAAACAGTTTCAGGTTGCCGGATCCGCGATCAACCGCAGGTGGTTGTTAAAATTCGGGTTTGATCAGTCAGTCACCATCCGAGGCTGTGGAGTGCATGCTTTAATTAATGCAAATTGTTCTCGGGTTTTCGCGTGCCTTTCAAATGCATATGACATTTACATGAAAAAAAAGAGTGAAAATCGAATGAAACCGGTGCCTCAGGAGTATACGCAGGTTTGCATCTAGTTCCTAAATGAAGGAAAAAGTTAATTATCATTTTCACATGGTTTCTTTGATAAAGCAGGTCAACATAAGTCACAGCTAAGAGCCAAATCGACATCTGAAGATAATCAATCAATCATTGTTTAGGTACAGCTAAGTACTGTCTAACAACGTCACTCCTTTTCGATCCCTTAAAACATAAGGAGCTTTTGGAATGGTCAACCACAACTCGCTTGAGTGAACAATGGGAGAGGTTGGGAATGAAGCACGCGTTCGTTCATCACGCACGTCATTACAGACTTCTGTTATGTCATACATAGCCACTTAGTGGAAAGAAACAAGATTCAAACAAATTGATATAGAACTAACAATGATTTTGCTACAGTTAAACTCTCTGGTGTCACACCTCGCTGATATCATGGTCAGATATATATGCACTTTTTATTTTAAGGATTATTCATTTTCTATTATCCGACGGTTTATTTTGCTTATATCGAGCTATTGTTGCGTATTCGCCGCTTTGGCTGGCATGTTTATCGTTTTTATGGTTGTATGGATGCTGTTTATCACTGGAAGGTGAGATTTTGCTCAGAGGGTGGGAGAGGGGGAAGGGAGGGAGGGGAAGGAACTTCCATATCCAAAGAGACAAGAATGCTTCAATTTAGTCACTACCGACGTCAGTCTAGTCGTAGCTTGTGTTTTATGGGCCCCGACTATATATCTTTCCGAGGGCGACTTATAAATGGTAATTGCATGGATTATAAGATGTTTTTTTAGTTGACAGAAGTCATTTCAGCTATGTGCAGCCCTAAAAGATAGCTCAACATTTAAAATATTGTCATGACCTGAACACCCTAAGTTAGACTAACATTTTTTATTTGCACCACTGAGCGAGATAAGTGTCACCCCTAAGGCGGACCTACTCTTAATTCCTTTCAAACGCTTAATGTTTACATTTGATATAAGATGGGTCCTGAAAGTTAGATACTGATAACATAAGAAATAAGACAACTGATTATTTCATGACGGAGAGATGCAGTAGTTCAGCGAAAAAATAGATGGAAATGTTGAAATTGTTCATATCTAAGATATCATAAAACACACCCGGAAAATGCACTGTTTACAAGGATCAAGCTGGTAAAAGTAACCCAATAAAAGCGAAGACTAGCAAATGGAAGACTTGGCTCGAAGAACGAGCGCTGTTGTTGCATAGATCATCTTCACAGCACTTGAATTCACAGATGGCGTCCTTAATATCTTTGCGCGGAGCAGTGGCAATGTTACATTCCGCCATAGTGGTACATGTTCTGTAAAACGTCTCCACCTCACCTCGTTCGGTCTGGTTGGTTTTGTAGGAAAGCTTTGCCGTGACGCATCTGTTACTAGAGCTACCGCAGGTAACAGGAGTGTCAGGCGCATATTCTGTGATCTTGTAGATGTTTTCACAGCGGTAACACTGCAATGAATGGGCTGTCAAGTAAAAATATCAGTAATAATGACAATAACAATTATAATAATAACGATAATAATAGTAACAGGGCTCAGTGGAGTCTAATTCGAGTGATAACAAAATTAGACGAACGCGCAGTGGGAGTCCGATTTGTCAATCGGAAGGTATGATTACAGATGAATAAAGGCTGAAACTTCTAAAGAAACTGTGGTGCTGCGACGGTGGGGGTAAGAAGGTAAGTTGGTTATATCAACTAAGTTGAAATTGTAAATTGGCCACCGTAACGAGTAAAAAAGCTGACGTTTCGCGCGTTAGCCCTTTGTCAGAGCGAATGGCTCTGGTCTGACGAAGGGTTAACGCTCGAAATATAACCAAATTACCTGGTATCATAACAGACCGAATTGGAGGACTCAGAGCCTTATGAACTACGTAATAACCGAGAGTGAGCGGAGGTCGTTACGGGAAAATCCCTAACTGAAGCCTTCCCGCATTGACAGAGCGATAACAAGGTCAATACGGCTAGGCCGAGGTCTGAGATTTTCCCGTAACGACCGAATCGAAAGGTTGAGGTTATTGAGTTGTTTATTATATGACTTACAAGATAAAGAAACGAAAACTTTATTCAAGCAATATTCGTCAATTGCAATTACATCAGAAATACTGCTGCCTTCAGAAACTGCTCGATTGTTTACATCTGATGTTCCCAGAAACTGATTTAAATTTGGTTGTTTAATAGTGAGTGAATCTGTTGATGAGAGCCACAAGCTGACTATGACAAGATTTAAACTTTCGGTAATTGTTGAGAACGCTATTTTTTCTTTCTTTCTTTCTTTCTTTCTTTCTTTCTTTCTTTCTTTCTTTCTTTCTTTCTTTTTGCTTTCTGGTGTTCTGCATGACAGATCTACGGATGGCGTTTTCCACAAACCTAAGTCATATAATAATACCACTTAGTAAACTGAAAAAAAAATACAATTTCCGAGAAAATAAGAATAGCCAAGTTCTAAAAGATGGAAAAAATTTCATCTAAAGAATGACAAAGGAGGCGTTTAATGTCGCTATGAAATTGACATCAATCAATTTTGAATGCAATTAGTTTATTTAAACTACCACTACAACAAACTGTCCCATAACAACTCGGCGAGTAAATTATTGGAAAATGGGAGTTTTTTAAACCAATCACAATCGAGAAAATGTAATTTTTACGATAAATAATAGTAACTATAACAATAACAACAACAGTAACGCCCTGGAAGACATTTCCGGGAGATATATCACGCATATCACGGGATAACAGATGAAATATCTTACAAAACCCAGAGAGTTACCAGTAGGGGGTATAGTCGGCAATTCATGTTGAGCCAGTAAGGATCCCACAGGTGTGATTGATAAAACAAAGGACAGAAAATACCTTATTTTTGATGAGGGGGCTTTTGAAAAGTGCTTGTCTTTTTTCGCTTTGACCATTCCACGGTTCAACAATCTGAAATTGTGACCTAAGAGTTACGAAGGTCAGCCTTGTTCTCTCTTACAATGATACTTCCCACAGTAGAGCCTCTTTACAAAATATTTTTTGATGGAAATGTTTTTCAGCTCAGTTAGACGAATTCTTTCATCTAGGAAAAATTTTGATCTTGGTCACCGTGTTTTTGAGGGTACATTTTGTCTTAATTGCGGAAAGAAAAGAGGTGTTGTATGTAAACTCAAGCCCTGTTTACACCACGCCAGGTATAAGTTAAAATGACGTTTTCACTCTAAAAACGCAAGAATTATGTTCTTTTCACAGTACGCAGGATAGATGTGAAAACACAACAACGACCCGCCGTCGGAATGCCTGATTAAACTTTGGGGATGCGTATAACAAGAGCCAAATTATCCCGCCGAATAATCCATACAGAAGTGACGTGACTGTGGAATTCATTTATGTACATCGAGGACAATCTTCAAAACTCGCAAAATTTTTGTTCTCCATGGTGATGTTTCTAGAATTTGTCAGATATCGTTTCAGAATAATATGAGCTCGTGTTTACTCAGTTTATCGTCGAACCACGCTAAATGCATTTATATCTAGAAATAAAGATGGCGAGCACCCAGTTTAACGATATCTTATGAGTGAAAATAAAATATTATATCAGGTAGGGAATAATTGTGATAAAACATTATTGTGTCAAAATATTGATTGTGTCAAGCCGTGAATTTTAGATTTAACCACTTGATTATTAAGTGCAACTCAAAACTTTTAAATTGAACTTATGTGGGCCATCTGCGTTCGCGTCACATTTATCTTGTTCCTTGGTTTTATGTTTGACAAGATATCGATGGATTTGCATAATTCAGACGATAACAGTTAGTAGAAATTGTGCGGTAATTATGATAATTAGTTAGTTCAATAAATTTTGCTTCTCTCTTTCTATAACAATTCTCGTCAAAACTAAGGAAGGTTTACCAAGATATGCAGAGAAACATGACAATTGACGGTTTAACACATTAACTACCTGTTACTCATTTTGTGTTGCAGTTTCACATTTTATCAGTGCTGGAACCAAGTTAACTGATAATGACTTTAGCATGTTTTCCTAATACAGTCAGAGGTTACTATTTAACTTCTACCCTTGCTGTTTTGAAAATTTTTTATGATGTTTCTACTGAGTCCTTCGTCAATAAACATTTGATAACGGCTAGACCGCTATATGTGAATCAAGGCACGAAACACTTAGCCAGAAACATTTGCGGAGAAAATGAAATGTTCTATCTTAAGCCATTGGTGAATAATAAAGTTATGATGAAATTGTAACAATACCTACCTACATGAAGCAGAGTTATGACAAAGAACGCAAATAAAATCGAAGGTTTGGATGCCATGGTGAAGTATTACGGATCAATGAGCTTCTCGTGGGGGTAAATTAGGGCCTGGGTGAAGATTAGAAATAGGCAAAAAGAATAAAAAAAAAAAAAGATTAAGAAATAACAGCTCGGACAGTTGAGTTTTTGCGCGTCAGATCGTTGCGAAATATGTTTTCCCATTTTTCCCTACACCATGCACCAGCTGTCGCGGAGACATCACGTGACACATTAATGAACATTTTTCAGCCAATTCAATATATTTGCTTGTCTTGCAGGAGTACTTTTTATTTACCTTAAGGTACAATATTCGCCCTGAAGGTAAAGCATAACAAGAAGAATCGATAATTTATTGACAAGGATGTCTCTTCTTTCTCCTTAGACGACTATGTAAAATTAAGGTTGTTTTTACTCGGTATTCACAAATGTCGAACTACACAAATTCTTTTGCCCCCGCAAATGCTGCTTATCCAGTACATAACATGTTTAATGTGATTCGATGAAAGTTTTTATCTGTAAACACGCGTATAAGGTTCATCTAAAATGCTCCTGCAAAGAGGTTTCGCGAAGTCATGATCAGTCACTGCAAAATTTTAGCCGTCATTTTCTTCCCGAATGTACAGTTCACCTAAACAGCGGATGCTACTGTTGCTATGGAAATGCAAACGGTATGCAAGATGGTGGACAAGGAAGCCATCTTCACAGCAAAACGGCCTCAAATCGCGGTAAGAACAGCACAGACTACTCTGTATGAAGGTAAGACTTTATTTCTTTGATTATTTCACACAACTTTAAATTTACGGAGCTCAAAAGCAAGTCCAACTGAACCACTATACAAACTCTATAATAATC